CTATATTAGGATATATCCATTAAATTTTTTAGTTTATTAAAATACTTATGTTTCATTATATTTCATATTTTATTGAATGCGTATTTAACTTAGCAATAACAATTCGGTGACCATTCCTTTTTATTGTGAATCACAGTATAAATGTAGACGCTCACGTACATTCATGTACACACACTCTTATGATCAAACACACGTCCTACTCCACTATGAGCACTTCCAAAATACTAAGCCGGTAGATTTCAAAATTCATGAGTCATCACATGCGCCCCAATGTCGATATACACAGTCGTCTACAACGTGAAGAATAGCGAGCAGCATGGTTAAATCGTCAAATACTAAAATAAATCAAGAAAAATTGGAGCATAATCCCAAGACAAAAATCTAAACAAATAGGCTACAATCAATTCTCATATTTTAAAATTCTTCGACCGGCCCCCCTTATGCATAATTCTTGGCTCCGCCACTGCATGGTTGGACCCGGCACTGCCACATCAAGTGCGGCGACGAAGAGAGGGAGTGCGGTAGGTCCAATCCTTGGCGGCGGCAGTTGTGGTGCCCGTGTGGTGGCGGCTCGCCCTCGCGCTTGCCCAGTGGCACTGGCTCACCCGCGCAGTAGCGACGGCTTGCCCACGCGACGGCGATGGCTCGCCTGCACGGCGGTGGTGACTCGCCCATGCACCCACGCGCCGGCAACAGCTGCTCGCTCGCTCGGCATGGTATTTTGGGTGATACGAAAATACGACGATCTGTAAGTGGGTCCGATCTCGTTTTAAGGGTAGAAAATGGTATGGAACATGTATAGGAACAATTGTAATGGCAAGTTTTCAAATAGGTGAATAGTGATGGCATATTTCAGAAATGTGAAAATTGTAATGACATGGATCAAATAACCCTAAAGAATGGTATAATATTGTAATATAGAAAACGCAAACGGTTCGAATTTGTCCCCTCTCCACTCTCATGCTAGCGCACAAGTTGGCTGCATGATGTGCTCATTCTGCGCTCCCACATGTGCATGCTGCATGGTCGATGCGCTGCACACAGTTAGCTGTGGCACTGTGCATGCACGCGTGGTTGGTGCCGATCCAGCACCATAAATACCCATCACGGGCTGCCCTGTTCTGCCTCAAGCAGGAGCCTAGCTAGCTCATCGGGTGATCGATCAGTGAGCTCTCTCTTTGGCCTAGCTAGCTGCTAGCAGTGCAGCTACCCAAAGAGAACTCAGATCGATCATCACGGTCGCTGCTAGCTGCTCGCTCCCACACACACTGCACGCACCGTCTCCGTGTTTGCTAATTTGACAATGGCGACAATGGAGGTGGAGGCAGCCGCCGCCACGGTGCTGGCTGCCCCCTTGCTGTCCTCCTCTGCGATACTCAAACTGCTGCTATTCGTAGTGACGCTCTCGTACCTGGCCCGAGCCCTGAGCCGGCCACGCAAAACCACCACTAAGTGCAGCAGCGCAACGTGCGCCTCCCGGGCGTTGGCAACCTGCCGCTCCCGCCCGGGCCCGTGCCGTGGCCCGTCGTCGGCAACCTGCCGGAGATGCTGCTGAACAAGCCGGCATTCCGCTGGATCCATCAGATGATGAGCGAGATGGGCACGGACATCGCTTGCGTCAAGCTCGGCGGCATCCACGTCGTGTCCATCACCTGCCCGGAGATCGCGCGGGAGGTGCTCCGGAAGCAGGACGCAAACTTCATATCCCGCCCGCTCACTTTCGCGTCCGAGACGTTCAGCGGCGGCTACCGGAACGCCGTGCTCTCGCCCTACGGCAACCAGTGGAAGAAGATGCGTCGCGTCCTCACCTCCGAGATCATCTGCCCGTCTCGCCACGCGTGGCTCCACGACAAGCGCGCCGACGAGGCCGACACTCTCACCCGCTACGTCTACAACCTCGCCACCAGAGCCGCCGGCGACGACGTCGTCGACGTCAGGCACGTTGCTCGTCACTACTGTGGCAACGTCATCCGCCGCCTCATGTTCAACAGGCGCTACTTCGGCGAGCCCCAGCCTGACGGCGGGCCTGGGCCGATGGAGGTGCTGCACATGGACGCCGTGTTCACCTCCCTCGGCCTCCTCTACGCCTTCTGCGTCTCCGACTACCTCCCCTGGCTGCGGGGCTTCGACCTCGACGGCCACGAGAAGATCGTCAAGGAGGCGAACGAGGCAGTGAACAGGCTCCACGACACGGTCATCGACGACCGGTGGAGGCAGTGGAAGAACGGCGAGCGGCAGGAGATGGAGGACTTCCTGGATGTGCTTATCACGCTCAAGGACGCCCAGGGCAACCCGCTACTGACCATCGAGGAGGTCAAAGCGCAGTCACAGGTAAAGTACATGCATGCATCTTGTTTATTGACATGGCATGCATGCATCTACATGAAATATATATAATGAACTCATATCGCATGTGTACGCACGCAGGACATCACGTTCGCGGCGGTGGACAACCCGTCGAACGCCGTGGAGTGGGCGCTGGCAGAGATGGTGAACAACCCGGAGGTGATGGCGAAGGCGATGGAGGAGCTCGACCGCGTCGTCGGCCGGGAAAGGCTAGTGCAGGAGTCGGACATCCCGAAGCTCAACTACGTGAAGGCCTGCATCCGGGAGGCCTTCCGACTCCATCCGGTGGCGCCCTTCAACGTCCCGCACGTCGCGCTCGCCGACACCACCATCGCCGGCTACCGCGTCCCCAAGGGCAGCCACGTGATCCTGAGCCGCACGGGGCTGGGCCGCAACCCGCGCGTGTGGGACGAGCCCCTGCGCTTCTACCCGGACCGCCACCTCGCCACCGCGTCCGACGTCGCACTCACCGAGAATGACCTGCGGTTCATCTCCTTCAGCACCGGCCGCCGCGGCTGCATCGCGGCGTCGCTCGGCACCGCTATGAGCATCATGCTATTCGGAAGGCTCCTGCAGGGGTTCACCTGGAGCAAGCCGGCCGGGGTGGAGGCCGTGGACCTCAGCGAGTCCAAGAGCGACACCTTCATGGCCACCACATTGGTGCTGCACGCCGAGCCGAGGCTGCCGGCGCACCTCTACCCGGCCATCTCCGTCTGATTAATCGCCCGGCCAGTCATTATATTGTATGCATATAAGACGAGCGAGCCTGGCGTGATCACTTGCATTGCATGTATCATCGATCAGGCTCTCTCACGTGTACTGGATGCAATAAGTTTTTCCGCGCTTGATTTTGTGGTTGTGCGTATTCTGCACACCGACCGTACGTAAGTGGCGACAGCGTTCAGCTTTGTACCGAGTTAAAATAAATTATTATTATTATTATCGACAATAATAATTGCATTGGAGCTTTGCTTGAGTGTATCTATCTGGCTATTCACTCGTACATGGTTTTTTGTTTTGTTTATTATTATTATGGACAATAATAATTGGAGCTTTGCTTGAGGGGGGAATATATGTACGTATCTTGACTGAAATTTGAGGGGGAAATATGTATGTATGTATGTATGTATATGCCAAATTTCATACCATTAGATGTTCTAGAGAGAAATCATGCTCAACACCTTCTCTGTAGGCCCCGTTCGGCTTACCTTAAATCTGGTTTGTATGACTTCTTTTTTCGGTTGGAACAATGTTTTTCTCTCACAACATTTCAGCCAGAACAGTGTTTTCAGTCAATTTCAGCCAAGTTTCAGCAAACCGAATGGTGAATGTGTCATTTTAGGATTAAATACTGATCGTGAGAATGTGTGAAGAAATAGACTAACGATGATAGGCTGTTATCTCGCGGCACCGCCTTTAGAAATACATTTTAAAATACAGTTAACAAGCAGCTAGGGTTCTCCTCTCTATATAGAGACGCTAGAAATAGAACCACGTCTGAAAAAATGGATGTGCCCATGAAAATTATTTTTTACTAGTGACGCAATCTCTATTCGTTAGTGTATATATGCCTAAGCCCCTAGGTATCTGCAGCCTCCCTTCTTCCTCACGCCCTTGTCAAATAAAGATCATGCCTAACTCAAATATATTTGATGGCTCCTGTTGAAGTAGACGCAAAAAAAAAACCAATAATTAAGGAGCTGCAAGTAGACATGCATATTTTAGTTTATGTTTTATAATTATTTTCTATAATAACTTATATTATTATTTACATGTAGATTTGAGGATTATATTTTAAATTATGTTTTATAATAGTAGAGTTGGTCAATTTAAAAAACAAACTAAATTATAATTTTACGTTATATTTCATAAAGGCATATACGGGTAAGTTAGGGCCTGTTTAGTTCCCAAAAATTTTCACTCCAAAATATCACATCGAATCTTGCGGCACATGTATGGAGTACTAAATATAGACGAAAAAAAACTAATTGCACAGTTGGGTGAGAAATCACGAAACGAATCTTTCAAACCTAATTAGTCCATAATTAAACACTAATTACAAAATACAAACGAAGTTTTACAGTAGCTAAACAGTAGCCAAGCCCAAAAATATTTAGGAACTAAACGCGCCCTTAGATGCAAACATAGGATCTTGACACACTATGCAGCTACCTACTCAAGTCTATGCGGTGTAGGTAGAGGTGTTCCCTGCTATTGGACTTAAATCACGGTACTGTAGAAAAGATTCGCACTCTTCTTTAGGAGCCGACCCGGATCCGCATGCAATGCACCAGCCGTCTCTTTCTGTCAATCCGGTCGGCCGGGCCGACCACGCATGCCAACGAATCGTATAGGTTCATCAACGAATCGGCCGGTCACCCTGACCCACCTCGCAGAGGCACACATGATGCACGCTAGCTACTAGATGCTGATCCATCCACGTGCACGGCGCCGCGCCGCGCCGTGGTTGGTTGCCGCACCACCACCCGCACCGCACATGACCTGACGACCCCAAATCACAGCACTGCCTGCTCTGCTCAGCAGCGCGCTGCCCTACAAATGATGCCCACGCGATCGATCGAGCACGCACACGCACCACCACCGCTCCAAGCTCAGCTCGCGCGCCTCTCGGGGTCGGGGATTGAACGCGCGCCATGGGCAGCAACGCGCCGCCTCCGCCGACTCCGCACGTGGTGCTGGTCCCGTTCCCGGGGCAAGGCCACGTCGCGCCGCTGATGCAGCTGGCGCGCCTCCTCCACGCCCGGGGCGCGCGCGTCACCTTCGTCCACACCCAGTACAACTACCGCCGCCTCCTGCGCGCCAAGGGCGAGGCCGCCGTCAGGCCCGCCGCCACCTCCTCCGAGAGGTTCCGCGTCGAGGTCATCGACGACGGCCTCTCCCTCTCCGTGCCGCAGAACGACGTGGCGGGGCTCGTCGACTTCCTGCGCCACAACTGCCTCGACCCGTTCCGCGCGCTGCTGCGGCGCCTGGGGCACGAGGCGGAGGAGCAAGGCGCGCCGCCCGTCACTTGCGTCGTGGGCGACGTCGTCATGACCTTCGCGGCGGCCGCCGCCAGGGAGGCCGGCATCCCCGAGGTGCAGTTTTTCACGGCCTCCGCATGCGGACTCATGGGCTACTTGCAGTACGGCGAGCTCGTCAAACGAGGCCTCGTCCCTTTCAAAGACGCGAGCCTCCTGACCGACGACGGGTACCTGGACACGCCGCTGGAGTGGGTGCCGGGGATGAGCCACATGCGGCTCAGGGACATGCCGGCGTTCTGCCGCACCACGGACCCCGACGACGTCATGGTGTCCGCCACGCTCCAGCAGATGGAGAGCGCCGCCGGCTCCAAGGCCCTCATCCTCAACACCCTGTACGAGCTCGAGAAGGACGTGGTGGACGCGCTCGCCGCCTTCTTCCCGCCGATCTACACCGTGGGCCCGCTCGCCGAGGTCATCGCGTCCTCCGACTCCGACTCCGGCCTCGCCGGCATGGACATCAGCATCTGGCAGGAGGACACGCGGTGCCTGTCGTGGCTTGACGGGAAGCCGGCCGGCTCCGTGGTTTACGTCAACTTCGGCAGCATGCACGTCATGACGACGGCGCGCAGGCGCGGGAGTTCGCGCTGGGCCTGGCGCGCTGCGGCTCCCCGTTCCTGTGGGTGAAGCGCCCCGACGTGGTGGACGGCGGCGAGATGGTGTTGCCGGAGGCCCTACTGGACGAGGTGGCGCGCGGCGGGGGCCTCGTCGTGCCGTGGTGCCCGCAGGCGGCAGTGCTCAAGCACGCCGCCGTGGGGCTGTTCGTCTCGCACTGCGGGTGGAACTCCCTGCTGGAGGCCACGGCGGCCGGGCAGCCGGTGCTCGCCTGGCCCTGCCACGCGGAGCAGACCACCAACTGCAGGCAGGTGTGCGAGGTCTGGGGCAACGGCGCGCAGCTGCCCAGGGAAGTGGAGAGCGGCGCGGTGGCCCGTCTGGTCAGGGAGATGATGGCCGGGGATCTGGGGAAGGAGAAGCGGGCGAAGGCGGCGGAGTGGAAGGCGGCGGCGGAGGCCGCGGCCAGGAAAGGCGGCGCGTCGTGGCGTAATGTTGAACGCGTGGTGAACGACCTGCTGCTGGTCGGGAGCAAGCAGTGACAAGCATGGATGACGATGGATCCCATTGGCAGATCGAGTTTCTAGTTAAAATTCCCCACATTCCCCACGCCGGTGCTGCTTTGTTGCAATAAGTGGTTCTGATTACACAAATGAAATAATTTCCGTACTTCCCAAAATTACTCTGCTTTCTTATATTTAAAAAAAACAAGTAAATATGCAAATAAACGTACAGTTCATTTGTGTGGTCACCTAAATGATTTACGGCTCATAAATTTTATATTACGGTTAGATCATCCATTCTAATACGCATTGAAATTAGACTCCATATTATCATTGAACGTGCAAAGGCACGCGGTTCTCACTCATGATCGCCGGTCGCAAGCCTACATCACAAACGAGACAAGAACTACTTGAAACCTTATTATCCCTGTGTGCCACAATACTGTCAAGGAAAAAGCAAAAACCATCAAGGAATGTCTTTTGTCGGGCTACCAACAGTCAAATCCCGTCAATGATAGAATAGATTTTGCTAGCGAGATTTCCGATAGAAACTTTATCTCTAATGGTAATTTTCTAACGGTGATTTGACAAAATATTGTAGTGTCTTCAGTTTTTTAAGACCAATTGACAACTGTTATGGTATTTTTTTTCCCTTAGGATTATCGTCAGAGATAATTCAAATTTTTTTGTGGATGTGTTGTAATTTCTTTGATAACCTACTATCAAGGAAATATATACTCACATTATTATCGGTTGTATGCTATTTTCCTGTAAGTCTCACTTCAAGGAAATACAAATTTTGTCGGTTCAACACAATTTGTCTGTAGGTTTCCCTTCAAGGAAACTACTATCTCTGACGTGACAACACCACCAAAAGATTGGAAGCCGAGAGGAAATATCACAATATTGCATATTCTAATTCTTGTTGTGTTCCACAAAGCATAGATGCAACAAAAAAAAAGTTCCACCAACTTATACAAAGCATTCAACATGAGCCACCACTGTTATCAAAGAAAAATGAGCCACCATAACAATGGTTTTGCCCTCACAAAGTACAAGTACATCAAGTAGGTTTTATTTTAAACTATTTATTCATAAATATTATTTAGTTTTATTGATTCTTAATATATTTAATTGTTAAAATAATTATTATATATGTTATTTTATGAGTTGTCATTATCTATGGTGGTTATATAATTATATTCTCTACTTACACAGTAATTTTGTTCTACTAAAACTATCGACAGACAAATAGATATATGTTATCGTCGTCAAAATCTAATAGATATCCGAATGTGTATCTGAATTCAAGACATTCGTTTTGCATTCGTATCCGATAATATTCGTATTCGTATCTGAATTTGAATTAAAATGTAGTAAATAGTGCTATCTGTGTTTGATTCCATGTGGATCCAATCTGAATCCATCCTTAAATATAAGAGTTACAACATAGATATAAAATGACCAGCATTTGAAAGGATTAATAACCTTTTGCATGAAATGCGACCGGTGTGTGACAAAAGTCACAAATCCAGTAGCACGCATTTTTGTATTTATGTAAATGTGCATCTAGTAGTGCTTGACAACTTAAAACAAACTAGACGGCAGTCAAATTAATTAAAACTAACATTTCAATAAAGAAATTAAGTCATGTACTATTAATTTGCATATGTGTTGCCGTAAGACGTATATAGACAAAGATCCTCATGATAAGATTAATTAAATTTGCCTAAAATGCCCCAGTAGCCCAAAACAAGTCATAATTCACAAAGGGAATGCTAGAATTTACAACTAGTACATATATAATCCCTCTAAGAAAGGCAGTTAAAAAGTACTCTCCCTCCGTCTCAAAAACTTATGTTTTAATTTTTTTTACACAGGCTAATTCTCAACTGCAATTACTCATGTATCTCTATTTATTGAGAGTGATTCATCATGGTAATTAAGGGAATAAGCTGCTAATTAAAAATAATGCATGGAGGCGTGCAGACCACAATCTCTAACTTATATGGGCCTAATCTAGTTCCAAAAGTTAAAAAATCAGATTTTTCGGACTAATTTTGAGTCCTAATTAAAACATTAAGTTTTCTGAAACGGAGGTAGTATATCATCATCACATTATAAAAGAGTGAAATTTTTGAGGGGCGCTCTCCCTCTATATATAATATCCGTTCCATGTAGATGTTTCAATTTTACACTACTGAAAACTCGAATACTTCTGTGTGTGCAAAAACCCACAGAAAAATACAAATACCGACAGATAAATATTTTTCTGACGGTGTACCGTCAGAAAATAACCCACAAAAATAGAATGACAGCAAAATCGAAGAATTTTTCTGTCGGTTCGCCGTTAGAAATAGTTTTTCTATCGGTCTTACACGCACGGAAAAATTACGTTTGCCTAGATTAAAAATAATTTTTCTGTGAGGATATCTACACAGAAAAAAAGAAATAAATGCACAGAAAATACGTGTATTTTTCTGTCGGTCTAGGTGAACTCACAGAAAATTTTCTTTCGCCCAGATTAAAAGTAAATTTCTGTGTAGCCATCGCAGAAAAAAGAGTTAAACACATAGAAAAAATAATTTATTTTGAAACAGTAGCAACAGCATATTAAAAATATATTGTCCATACAATAATTTCATGACACATCACAACGTAATAAATATTTTCATAGGTGTCTAAATGTTCAGCACATTCATAGGTACATAGATGATGTCCAAATGTTCTAGCATCAATACATTCAAAACCATTACCATCTCAATAGTTCAAGTTTAAGCCAAAATGACCACCGGTATGCATCATTGAGCCATATAGCTAAAACCAAAGCTAGAGCCTCCAAACTAGTTAGTGTGCAAAAGCACAACACTACAAAAGAAGAAACCACCACCACATCCATGTTTTGCAACTAAACACCTCCATCACATTTTTGGTCATTCATCCTCATGGAAGAACATAACTGCAGTAGAACATATGACATTAAAGATATTACAAAGGTGTAAGCCTGCCTTCAGTAACTATGCTAGCAAGTAAAAGAAATGCCTCACTTCTCAAATAAATTAATTTATGAAGACAGAGATAAGTCTATCAGTTAGGCTTATTCAATTTAGGATGATTCAAACGAATGAGAATATATTATTTCTGCAATTAAAAGTACAAGATTTTATTTTCTTGTAATTGAACACTTGCTATGGTAACACACCTGTTGCTCTCATCTTCTCCTAACCAAAGTTATTAGAATACACCGCTTAAAATTTAGAGCACCAGAGTATCCTGCTCAAGGGCCTGACATGAAACATAAAAAGGAGTGTGTCAATTACAAAAGGAGGAACTTTCTTTTGTTTATATAGGCAGTAAATTCATCTATAGCATAAAGGCAAGCTGCTTTATAAACAGAACAATGTGTTGTTGATTAAAATATACTTAAAACAAAGGCGACAGTGAATAACACCTTGCATCAAAATTCAAATTCAAACTAACTACTAGTAGTTTCTACATGACATGAAGAAATTCGACATAAAAGATTAAGCCAACAAGCCTACAAGAGTAATAATGGAGCAAAAATGACATGATAGGAAGGCATATAGTCAGGCACACGATCTATGCAGCTAGTTTTCTTTGTGGTTCCTCTAATATCTCACTTTTTCTAAGTTCGTTTTTTCTGCAACACAGAACCAAAAATCAGCAATTCTTGCATACTCTAGCTAGCTGTTGACGGTAGTTAACAACCAACTTAAACCATCAATTAAACATGCATAAGGGCATAAATATAATCACCAATGAAGGTTTAGGGGTTTAATCTAATAAATTCCACAAGTTTTTGTGAATATGTGTTTCCAGCAGGGTTAAATCAGAAAACCACCAAGGAGGACATAATCGTCAAAGGAAAATACGGAGTTCCACCGTGGTACCTACGTGGGAAGACTCTAGAAGGGTCCAAAAGCCATGTCACCAAAGCAGAGGGCCACCCCCTGGTCCCACCTGTCAGCCAACTTCGTATGGCGGTCTCCCACCGCCTTTGAGGATGCATCTAGGCCGTTGCTTAAGTCGGTTTAATCCAAGGGCTCACATTGGACCCTCAGGGCTATATAATCTAGCCCCTGCCTCCCCTAGGAATCATAAGTCATCAAGTCCTTTGAGAAGACAGAAATCCTAATCTCCTCAGAGCTCTTCCTCCTCCATAGCATAGCTAGTTAGGATAGATCTAGAGGGAGGCAAGTAGGACTTAGCTTGGATTCCCGATCTTGTCAAGAGTGTGGTTCACTATAAACTTTGTACCCCTCTCTCTTTTGTTTCTCCATTATTTTTATATGCTAATTACAATTGTTATGACAATCTCAATATTCATCTTATTCATGTTCTTCGTTATGATGTTCATTGTCTACTTTGAATATATGCTTAGTATAGCTAGTTTATCATTATGTTTATGCATAAGTTCGTATAGCGCTCACTCCAAGGTACCATGGGTGGGTGGTCGACATTGTGTAAGTGTGGTGCTTATACGTTGTTTACCTACGGATACACCCTATATTCTATGTTATGTGGTGGATCGCGAATGTGACACTCCCATTGAGTCCTCTGTAGTCCACTCCCCGAATATAGGCGCACGTAGGGTCCGATTATGAAGGTAGAACGAGCTCTGCCCTCAATCTTCCTTAGTACTATCCCTTCTGTGTAGATATGATGATGATCTTAGCCATGATTACTAGGTGTAATTGCACTAATCAAATGTATGCTTTGACTTATAATTAAGAATGACTTAGGAATTATTCCTCTAATATTCTATCTGACCATGCTAATGCCATAGAAAGGAGTGCTCTGAGTGACTTATCATTATTATTACTTATCATATATACATATCTTATCTTATGACTTATCCCTGTTGTGAGTAGAGTATTTGTTATGGTTTACTTCTTCTTCAATAATATAAGTTATCAATACACGTCCATGCTAGACCTTCTAGACATGTTAGAACACGAACAGTGTTGTGGGCGCCGACATTTGCCATACCAGAAGAACACGGTGGAACCTACCACATG